TACTGTGAGTATGTTAGTTTGCATTTTGTGGGCATTGATTTAATGTAAAATTTAATCTGAAACGCTTCATAGAATATTTTGAATGTTCATGCATTCACTGAATAAACAGTAAACTGCTTTTGACGATTAACAGTTTTTACTAATCAAATTGTTGAGTAATTTCAAATTGCTCTCCTTTACCATCTGATTTTCTTCTTAAATTAATTAAATTAATTTAAACAGGGTAATTTAAGAAACTTACAGCTTCATTCAAAAGGAAAGCAGTGCAAGTTTTAGGCAAAAATCGAAGCAACAGAATTCATAATCATTAAACATTCAAAGAAATTCAATTGTTCTCATTTCTTTTTTTTTTGTTCTCATTTCTGGGCTTACGGCCGGAACGGGCTCGCCGTTGACTCGTGGATAAAGTAGTAGGTAATCGAATCCCCCCGAAAGCGAAATTGTTATTATACTTTATCGACATTATAATTTCTTCAAGCATTTTCAACCGTATATTTTACCATTTCAGAGATTATACGACATTCAAGTTCAATGCAGTTCTGTGGCTGTGGTTATGATAGCAAGTGTATTTCAAGTTCTGGTGAAGTCACAGTACCGGGTTGAAATGAACAAAGCTTTGAATAACAAAGTCTTGTCTGGTCATGCCTTTCGTAACCTAACCATGAAATCGATTGTCGAATGTTTTTTTGCTTGCCTAGAGGATTGCCTGTGTATGTCATTTCAAATGTGTGAGAATACAGAATGTCAGCTGTTGTCATCCAATCAATTCCGATCACCTTCGACATTGCTTGCAATGATGGGGTGTTCTTATTATGACATGGTACCAAATTCGGTAAGACCTATTTATATATTCCTGACACTTCAGTTGTTTCCAAATCCAAAGTTTCAAGTTTGTAAGTTCACGGCAACCAGGTTTAATATCGGTCTTGTTTTTGCTAGCTACTCTGGTTTTTAAGTAAATGACTGAAATGACTGTGGAATTCACGAATTGAATTCACGAATACACATAATTTTGTGGGTTCTTTTATTATTCCTGATTCTTTCGCTGTTCTTCCTAATTACTCAGAAAACAATCATGATACAGTCTTTCTTTACTAATATCTTACTGAATGATCGATAAATTAGTCTAAATTATAGTAATAATCTGATCACTTATAATGTCTTTTTTACATTAAAATATGCAAGAGCACAACAGTGCAATTAAAAACTGGCATTTAATTAATCAGAAAAACATTTGAAAAGTTTGAGAAATTTTCAGTGCATGCACATTTCTTCTGTTTTTACATCTCTTCAATCCAATACGAATAAAGAACTAAACTAAACCTCTCAGTGTAGACGAAGTTGCCAATAGACCTTTCCGGTAATTACGTCACGACTAACACTGTTTTCAAATTAGAAACACCTTAAATGGAATGGATCTTAAGTTTGTTTCTCACGAGCTATGGTCAGAGGAGCAGACTATCCTTCTTCAACACATGCATAAAAAGGATTTTGACCAATAAATGTGGAAATAAGTTAAACACGAAAACGAGGCTGAGGGGCCAAGAAAGGCCATGGCCCTCAGCCTCGTTTTCGTGTTTAAGCTTATTTCCACATTTAATAGTAAAAATGTATTAAGGTTACATCATATGATAGATTCCTGTTTCAGAAAAATGGTCACTGCGTGCTCAATTTTTTAGTTACGTTTCTCAAATTTGGTACATGCAATGATAACTAACTGTAGAAGCTACTGTTTTAACCAAAATTCACCACCTTTTAACCTGTAGTCGCAATGAGACATCTTTTGAAAAATAGCACCTCTTGCGCCACGAGATTTAACGACAGACCGTTTAACTCAGGAGCTCCCAAAATATCATATTTCTCATCTCAAATGTCCAAAGAAGAAAAGTGTGTTCGCCTTTTTTGACAGCTATTGTATTTGCTTTGATATAAAGCAGACAACTTGACTTATCTTGCGCGGGTATAAGCGGTTGAAAAGATGCTTCCAAATTGAAAAATAATGCACTAAATCGAAAACGCGAACACACTTTTGTTCCTTTATTATATTGATTAACATTGTGGTCAAGTTTGGGAAGAATCGGATAAAACGCTCTGTCGTTAAACTCTTTTTTGTCGAGGAGATTGGGTAATTTTGCTTTCTCTTCAAACGACGATTTAAGATTTGACGAGGTTTCCACTCTTTCTGTCATTTTCTCCGCCCCCAATGTTAATCCACTTGTGACCTCGTGCGGTTAACCAATCACAAACAACCAAACTTCAATAGTTTTTGGCAAGGTGTTTATCACATTTATTTTTATAGAATTATAGTCTATAGACTACAAAACGCAAACGCAGTAGAAAAGTCACCGAAGCCAACATCGCACATAGCTTGAACTACGAGAGATTCTGTAAATACTATATTGTAAGCTTTCTAATGTTGTCGCAATGATATATGCCTCCGAACAATAACAAACGGCTTATACTTCAGTGAATTTCACACCTTGATATTTGACTCCAGCAAAGTTAAGTTCAATCATAATTACAAGTTTCGCGCGAAGCTATTCAGTGGTCATAGCATTTTCCCCCATATCTCGGTCGCTTTTTAACATATTCTTTAAAAAGTTGCTGGAATTGAGAGATATATCATTACTTAATATGAATATATATAAAAAAATTTTTTTGACAAAATCAGAGTTTCATCATATAATGTAACCTTAATAATTAGTTTACAGTCAAAATACAAAAATCTTCCCACTTCCGCAACTTGGATTGTATGATTGCTTGCGCGCTTGCTTTTAATTTCAATTTTGCTTAAAAATAGTTTGATGAGTAAGCAGCGTTGACTTGCATTTTTTATTTCAAGGTTGGGTTAACCAATTCTGCTTCATGCACTCCCGGATGCCGTAAAAATCCATGCCCAAATGGCACAAGTTATGTTACACTCACATCTACAGATTACACAACACCTCGTTATAAATGTCTTTGTTCTCCGGGCTACGCAGGAAATCTTTGTCAATATATTGTCAGATCATGTCGTGGTTACACGAATGGTAATCGAGTTCCTGGAAAGTACAAGGTGTTTGACGATAACATGAATCTCTTTGAAGTTTTCTGTGATTTTGATTTGAATTCCACCATGACATGGACACTGGTTCAATCGTATGAACAAAGAGTTAAATTGAAATTCAAATTCGAACCCTACTCTGTGGATTTCCCTATAAACCAAGATTCTCCTCGCTCGGATTCGTATCGTCTTTCAAAATCCAGAATGCAATCCATCCAAGATGACTCCAGTAAATTTCGCATTACATGCAAGTATGATACCGATGGTCTAGTCTACCGTGACTATCTTCAGGCGACGAAAAAGAAAATCGATATTCTAACCGATATTCTAAGTGACACACATTGCCCTTTAGTAGAACTGATTGATGTCCGAGGTCAAAGCTGTTCCAACTGTACTGCATTTCTAGTTCAAAAGAATTATATCTTGCACAGTGATTCCTTTAACGCCGCGAATAAAGGCTGTCAATTTCGGCCAACTGGAGTTAAACGCTGTACAGACCCGTACACAGAAGACAACTTTGGTTACTATGGTTGTATCAATACGGCACACCGATGTTCATCCTCTGAGACAGCTACAACTCAAACCTGGCTTGGTTCTAATTGATGACTGGACCGGATTATAAGTGAAAGCTTTTCTAGTCCGGGACAAAATTGAATCTCATTCTGCCGTATTATTTCTTGAAGTATATATATTGTTAATCAATTTAGATCCAGTCCAAGGCCATATGAGCAAAATAAGGTAGTAATTATAGTAAAGTGCTTAATCAACGAAATTTCACACTAGGCTTTTATAAACTGCATTGTAAAAAAAATTCAAAATGACTATTAATTGTCGTCACTATGACGTCAAATTGCATACTGGCTTTCTGAAAAAAAACTTTTAATAACTATTACAGATAATTGATTCAAGTCTGTTGACATCATATCATGGTTTTACAATTTTGATGCACAATATGATCCCAAGATCGTGAAGTTTAAGAAAGTCATTATGCAATGTGACGTCATAATGAGGACGTCAAATATCTCAAGGATGAAGCAAGCCAAAGGTACGTTTATACACAACGATTAATCGGGTCGATTCATCTTTAATTAAATGATATTTCAAAAATTCGTTGTCAACGTCATCTGGCGACATCGTCAACTGACAACATTCGTCGTTATGCGCGCAGCAAATCGAAACCTCGACATCCCGCCGGGCATATCTGGGGAATTTGCTTGTTTAGTATTTTAAGAAGGCGGTAATTTGACCTTTTTTCTAGTGGAAGGTGGGGAGTTTGTTTAGGGGGTCGTATATATGTAGGGAATTTGACCTAACCAAAACGTCAAAATCCAAATTCCCGGGGGTATGCCCGGGGGGGTGTTAAGGTTTCGATTTGATTCGCGCATTAACATTCAGCAAAACGTGAAATCGACCCGATTAATCGTTGTGTGTATACGTAGCTTCAGAGAGTTTGGCAATGAATCTTATTTGGTCAATTTGAATTTTATTTAAAATGCAATCATAAAAAAATGATGGGGAATTTAGTTGCATGAGCACTTCATTGTCAACAAGACGCTCTATAGAGCGTTAACTCGCTGGGGCTATACAAACACGCACATTACCGTGGCGTATATGATACATGCATGCATGGAGGTCGGGAATCTTCGAGTTAAGCCCTTCGAGTTAAGCCCCTCGAGTTAAGCCCTTTTCGAGTTAAGCCCTGGGCACGCCCTGTTTTGCCATGACCACGCCCTTTTCCCAAAAGGGCTTAACTCGAAGAACGAAACACGATTTGAGTCATTCGAGTTAAGCCCCGGGGCTTAACTCGAAGTTTGACAAAAAAGTTGTTGCTCGAGTTAAGCCCCGACTTTTGAAGTATGTCAACGAGTGCAATATTAAATTGTCAAATTTTCAGTACAAAAAAGCCAAAGGCAAAGCACAATAAATTTCCCAAAAAGAACTTGTAATACGATTATCTAAAACAATCACAACTATTATCGTTAACAATATTTTAGGTTTTTCATATTTAAATTAATATTAAATTTAACAACACTTAACAGGTAATTACTTTTGGTGGATCGTTTATCCTCAACATAACAACAAAACAATATTTTAATTATAAAGTAGATAGAATCCTAACTCGTTCCTTTTGTTTGAATGTGCACAATATCGACAAATTAACAGTTTGACTGTAACAAAAAAGGTACTACCTTCTCCCATCACCTTGAACAAAACTAATCTATTAAGAAAATGATCGAAAATGACAGCACGTAATAACTAAAGAAAAAGAGAGGAAAGGGAAGGAATTTCGGTATAGAATGTCTGTCTTTGACAACTTGCGCCCAGAGATTCACGCCTCATATGCACATGTACAGTAATTTTATTAGCCAAATGAATGGTTATGAATCACGAATGGTTCCATTGGTGTAAACAAATTATCACGGGGAGAAATTGTTACATTTGAGTAAAATACCCAAATGTAAAAATTTATCCCCGTAATAATGGCGCTACGTCACAATTTCGCTTATAAAAGTACTAAATAGCTCAGCAAATATTCCCTTTTTAATAATATACAAGGATAGTGACTAAAACACCACACAAGTACATACGAGTACATACGAGTAACATACGAGTACACACGAGTAACATACGAGTAAATATGAGTACATACGAGTACATACGAGTAAAATACGAGAATTAGCACGCTTTCTTTAAAGTTTCTTTCACTTACACACTTTCACTTTGGCTTCGTATTATGTTCATGTTGGAAATGCCTTATTGACATAGACGTACGAGACAGGGGGGGGGGGGGGGCAAACCATGGAAAACCATGGAAATTCGGGCAAACGCTAGGAAAAATCAAGAAAATTCGAGCAGATTTATCAGAAAATATGTTAAAATCCTCGTTAAAATCAGGTTATTTCATCACAATTCTTCATAAAAATTCGGGCAAACTTTCAACTGTCATAAATAACAATTATCATAAATAATCTCACATGTGAGATTATCACTTTAATCAGTGCTCGAAGTACTATTTAAAGCACGAGTAGGAGTGTTTTATCACATAGAAAACACGACGCGTAGCGGAGTGTTTTATATGTGATAAAACACGACTACGAGTGCTTTAAATGGCTTAAAAAACGACCCATCTTCTGATGAGTACATTAGCGAAGTAATTTTTAAAATAAACTTTGTCTAAACCGAGAAAATCAAAGCTAAAGTTTATGTAAATTGACATGATTTTTTATCACATATAAAACCACGACACGCTTATGATTTTTCTTTGTGTTTTCCTTTTAAATCTCTATAAAGCATTATACTTTATATAATAATATAGAATAAAGATTTGTATGTTCTAAGACTTTAAAAAGGTTTAAATGTAGTATATTGCTCACAGGCTGTCAGAGAGTTTTTGTAGTACATGAAAGTGCATGTTTGCCATGTTGTTTATACGTCTGCAGTCTATACGTATGTGTTTTGCAAATTTAATACGTCAATTGTACACCTGTTAATACGTTTTCAACAGGGAAATATAAAATGCTTAGGGTTCATTATTTATCGGTTGGGGGGGCGGGGGCTGGTAAAATAATGGGGGGATATATTTTATGGGTGTAAAAGAGTGGTTTAAATCTTTTGAAGAAGTGTTTTGGGGAGACAATAAAATTTTATAGCATTGATATAAAGAAGATGGTATAGAGACAGTGGCGTAGCCAGCGTAAAAGGTGTGAGTCATTTTAGGGGAGGTCTGGGGGCATGCCCCCCCCCCAGAATATTTTGAAATCTAGGGTCTCTGAAATGCGATTTCCTGCATTTTCGGGGTGTGAGTTTGCATAAGTTCGAAGACTGTATAATGCATAAAAGACATGATTTTTCGTCATGGAAAATGATGGTTAAAATAATTCAAATTACTTTTAAAACCGAATGATGATTGAAAGTAAATATATTTTACATTTAAAAACCTAAAGTAAACCCTTTCTTCTTGGGTCCATATCTACTTACTTAGACTAGGTTATACACAATTATATTGTGGATTTGGATTTTTATTTCACGCACCCCCCCCCTCCCTGTTGGCTAAATCCTGTCCAGCATCCCCAAGTTGAAGGTCCTCTCTACGCCCCTGGTTGTAAAGAGCACACAAAAGAATAGGATGGGAAGAACTACCATACGGCCATACTATGTTCTTCTTAACAGTTTAATGTTGGAGGGGGTGAAAAATTTTCAGACTGTTCTAAAGGGGTGGACTACATTTTTAAACACATTAAAAGGGAGGGTCATTTTTATTATGCTGTTTGAATTTTAGAATCCACCAGCTCCCCCCCCCCCTCCCCGCAACCGATAAATAATGAACTCTAAGTATTTTATATTTCCTGGTTATTACTAATTTTTTATGGAGAATTGTAATGAAATAACCTGATTTTAACATATTTTCTGATAAATCTGCCCGAATTTTCTTGATTTTTCCTAGCGTTTGCCCGAATTTCCATGGTTTTCCATGGTTC